TGTTCGTATTTTGGCAAGACGTAGTGGAGCCAAAATGCCCATGGTGAGACCAAATGAACCTTATATGGTACAGGTGTATGTCACCAAAGCATACAATACAATAATGGGTTGTAATTGATCACTTGTCCCTTTGGCAGGGGAATAAATTTTTTAGACCACAAAAACGTTTGATTCCCTGTTATCTCCTAAGTGACTGGTGCATAAAACAATATGCAGTCGTCTAGTTCCATAAGAGGGTGTTCATTATACTGTATCATGAATATAATTTTTCTTGCATTTTGATTGGAATTGGAGGACAGGCGTCTTTCATGCAATATATCAGGGACTTTCCAAGAGAAGATTGTGCAAGGAATATCTTGGATGAAAAGTCAACAATACACCGGGGGTTAATATGCATGGCACAAAAATGACGTCACAAAAATTTAACCCCTAGTGTTACTCAGACAAACAAACCATTCCATGGAACAACTGCGCTCATGAGCACTTCAGTAGAATGCTCAGCGATTAATTTTGCAAGGCAAGGGTCCCTCTAGCTCAAAATGTTACAGAAAACCTTCAACATGTACTTTGGAATAATAACAATAATAGAGTTTGACCGTGGGTAGCAAAATATGTTGGGCTTCTTACATGTAAAGGCTGTTCATGAATACACTCCTTACATCCTTAGGAGAAAAAAATATTACCATTCTCAGGGATTGGGAAAGTAAACAGGTGAATGAGCCTATGGCCCATGGCACTGGAAAGTTATGGGCCATTTATAAAACATTTGGGCCATTAGGGCGAACAAGTGGGTCTCAAAAAAATTAATTGCTTCGTCCTCTTTAATACCGGTAAATGCTTTGGAAAGGGCATTATCAAAATTTGCCTTTAACTCTCCTGCAGCTGGCGCATGTTTGCGATCTGGAAGGTCTTCATGTCTGGTCATGCTGCTTGTTTTAAATAAATGTTTTACATTGTCATAATGTTCTTCTTGCCATGTTTTAAGCAGACCATACAGTACATAGCATAACACTTGTAAATAAGCCAAAGCCACAAAGTTAGCCAATTTTTTTGAAATTTTCATTCCTCAGAACTAGATGGCTTGAAAGCTTCATCTTATCGTTGTTTTCAGGATCACAATTTGTTTTGGCGAACTCTGGTTGGTAGTGCAAAATGGCAACAATCTCTGAGTCTTGTCCAATTTTAGAACTTTCGCTTTAGCAGACATATTATTTTGGCTAATTACAGCTTGCAAAACGTATTCAAATCAGCCGATTCTATCATTGAAAACAGAAAGCACATGGATTGAGCATGAACCTTGTTTACGAGCAGAGTCTGAGTAAAGGAAGGGTCTGGGGATGAAAACAAAACAGAGACTTCTATGACATCGACTAAAGATGAAAAGGCATTGTGATTTTGTTTTGTGTTATTCATCATTACACTGAAAATTTCACAAATGAAAATCCTTTCCATAAAAATTGAAAAATTAAACAAGACTTACCTGTAAGTTGAAGTTTGATTGGAATTCTATGAGTCACCTACTGCAACAAAGGGATCACATGAGATTGCATCAAGCATGCGCACGTCAGTTTT